AGGACAGATTTCACGAGTGCAACTTTGCCTCTAGTTGATAAAAGCTTGCTTTTCCATTGGTCGAGTCTTCGCTTGAAGGTGTCAATCACCGACTACCAAGTCGAGATCTACCTTAGGTTAGTGCCCAGTGGTAGGCCTAAATATTTAGAAGGGAAGGAGTCAGCTTTACATTGTATATTGTTGCCTAACGTTTAATGGTTTCTTGATCCACTATAATATCAAACAAAGTTTTTAGCAAAATTTACTTTCGACCATAGAAGAGCTAAAGACATCGGATAATTCTTTTAATCAGCACCACTTGATCAACTTTTGCTTCACAGAAAATAATAATGTCATCTGCAAACTGCAAGTGAGAAATCTATAAGTCCCTTTTTCCAATTTTGATTTTGTTAAATAGATTTAGCTAGACAACCTTCATAGAAGTAAGCTTAGGCCTTTATCTGCAATACTGAACAAAAAAGGAGATAAAGGATCACTTTATTTATTTTTTTTAACTTGATAAGATTTGAAAGAGAGCCATTAATCAGAATTTAGATAGATGCAATATAAATATAGCTCCATATCCATGAAATCCATTTTAACCAAAACCCATAAGCCTTATAATTGAAATAAGATGATCCAAATCCACATCATCAAAAGCTTTCTTGAAATCCAACTTAAAAATAAGGCCACCATTAAACGAGTTTTTCATGCAATCAATAACCTCATTAGTTATAAAAAAGCTATCCATAATGTAACGACCTTGCACAAAGGTTGATTAAGTTTGGTGAATTAAAGAGTCCATCGCCTTTTTTAATCTGTTAGCCAAGATATTTATCAGGAACTTGTAGACACCTTCAATAAGGGATATCGGGTGGAAGTCATTGAGTGATTCAATGCATTTTTTCTTAACAAAAAGAGCAAAGAAAGAACAATTGATCCTTTTAGGAATCTTGCTAGTCATACAAAAATCATGTATAAATTTTAGCAAATTAGGCTTGAGTGCACTCCACATCTTTTTGATGAAGTTGAAATTGAACCCGTAAAGGCCAAAGGCTTTATCATCACCATACTTTTCAATTATCACCCAAACTTCATCCTCAACGAAAGGCATTTCCAATTGTTGTACTTGAAAAATAGACAATTTATTGGTCACAATGTTTGAGGAAATCAGAAAAAGGCTGGAAACTTTCCTAAAATGATCTTCAAAGTATCGTTGGATTACCTATTAACCTTCTTTGGATTCTTAAGTTGCTTGCCACGGTAAGTGATATGACTCAATAATTTGTTACACTATCTACTGTTTGCAATACAGTGAAAGAACTTAGTGTTCTTATTTCTTTCCTGAATCCATTTCAACCTTACTTTATGTCTCTAAGTCTTTTCTTTTACTTTTCTTTTATGCTTAAGAGGTGCCATAATTCTTTCTTTTTTGAGGTGATGATGTAATCATTATAAACATCCAAAGGATTTTCTTCATGTTTCTCCTACAATACATTAATCATTTTAGTAAGAGAATCAATAGAAATAACCATACCACATTTCACGTACCCATCCCATGATCTGATGTCCATTTTTAGTAATTTCATCTTTTGATGAAGCTAAAATCCAGCATATCCATTCACCCTATAGCTTTTCCATATTTCCTCAACAAGGCTTTTGAAATCACTGTTATAAAGCCAATGATTAAAAATTTTGAATGGTTTAGGCCCCTAATCAAAAACATCAATGCATAAGTAGATGGCAACATGGTCCGAGATTGTGTTGTCCAGCCTCCATTGATTAATTGATGAAAATGTAACCATCCGATTTGAAGACAAAAGGAATCTATCTAGTCTACTCATTGTAGGTGTTTCGCTTCAAAAGTGCCATATCATTTATCATCATTCGAAACTACATAGAAGTCTCCCGCATAACACTAGAGCTCATTTTTATTTGTTTTCAATATTGCTACTTCATCAAGAAAAACCTTTCTTTCTCTCACCTCATTTGATGCGTACAAATTGATCGAATTAACAATAACAAGGTAGTTTGAGAGCTGCAAATTTCCAATCAAATTTCTAATTTTGGAGTAAATTTACCATCATACATTTAATTTTGAAAAATGTTATGATTTGGCATTTTATTTATTAAAAATACCATGATGAAATAACAAAAACAATATAAAAATTTTATTTCAAGTTCATGGTTTTTTTATTTATTGTTCATGGTTTCTCTATTTATTTCATCATGTAATTTTCTATTTTTTCCTTATAAATTCTGATTTTTAAGTTCATGTTTTATAATATGCAGTTAATGAATTTGATTTAAGTTACATATGTTTCAATAACATGTTTTGATGTTTAATATAATTATAGTAGTAAATATTGAAAAAAATAATTTTTTCAAATATTACTTTTTAGTTATATTCAAAAATAAAAATTAAAAGTGAAATATTCATGATGTTTTCCAAGTAACATACTGCTATAGATATTAATTTAGCTACATTTATATTAAAAAAATCACTAAATTTATTAAGTTAACGACATTTTTGTTTATAGACATCTCTAAATTTTTTAATTTAACGATATTTTTTGTTTACAAATACCATTAAATTTCGTGTGAATATCTCTGCCTAAAACTACATCTCAAGGTGTTTTATAAATACTGTTAAATTTAATTGAAATGCCACTAATATTGATAGTGTTTTTCAAACAATGCCATTAAATTTCTCGACACTAAAATAACCAACACAGTTAATGGAATTTTTTTTCAAACATCAGTAACCATCCAATGCATTTATAAATGTTGCTGAACATATAAAAAATGTAGCCAAAAACTAATTTCCCCATGGTGAATATTTGATCTTAACCAAACACTTCAAAATTAAAAGTATGAATTTGAATCTCACATAAATAGAATTGAAAATTTACACCTTATCTTTTTTTTAAAAAAAAGGTGTATTAGAATGTAAAATAACAAATGGTGAGTTATTTCTTGTAAAATAAATATTATTTGATGTAATGAGTTAATTTATATATTTTAAATTTAATTAAATATTTTATCATCAAAATAAAATGCCATTCTTTTTCCTTTTTTTTTCCTATTTTTTTCTTTTGTATCCCTTTTTTCCTCAACCAAAGGCCAATTGACACGTTGAGAGCAAATCTAGTTGAATTGATGCCACAACGACCAATGAGAGCTAGATCAACCCTTTGCCAAGCCAACAAGGGGAGAGAAAAAGATCTCCTTTTCCCTTACTAAATTGGCTACTATGCACAAGGGCTAAACTTGCTCCAGTTGGTTATGATTATTGTGACATCAATTATGTAGGATCCAATCCTTATGCCATTCGGTTGACCAATGAGAACAATGATAGAAGAGCAAAAGCAAGAGAAAACAACTTCAAAGATAAAAGTTAAAAAATTTTAAGATTACTTTAGTACTTTATTGATTTTTTTATTACACTTATGATAATTGATATTAGCTTTTAATAAACCACAAACTATTAATTTATATTTATTTTAATAAGTTTATATAAACTATTAATTTATATCTATTTTAATAAGTTTATATTGATATATTATCAATATATAAATATTATATATTATCAATAAATTGCATAATGATACCTCATAAAATATTTAATTTTAAAATTTTAAAATCTTAAAAAGCAAATACAGTTAATCTTAAAAATATATTTAAAATTAATTTTTTATAAAATATCATTATATGACTTACTGATAATATATAACACTTATACATTAATAATGTATCAAATATAAATTATTTTAATAAATCTAAATGGTTTTTTTTTAAACAAAAGTTGTTGGTTAGTACAAAAAATTTGATTATGGTATATATTGAACGGATCTTAACTTAATTGGTCTATAAATCTATCTTTAAAAAATGACATCAAACATATATTAAATTCAAATTTTAATACTTAAATTTTTTTTTCAATTTTCATATTTTAGTCTCCTCCTAGCAGAAATTGAAAGCAAGATTTTTTTTTTTATTTAATTAGTGCGTGAAACCTAGCTTCACATAGTTTATTACAATAATTTTTAGTATTCTATTGAATTAGAAGCTTATTGATTATTCCTCTAACATAAACAAAACTAAGACTTTCACAGAGAACAATAAAACTTCAAGAGATACAGTACTGAATTTTAAAGTTGGGAAACCAACAAGGAAAACCCATATGTAAAATTACAATTAAAAGGAATTTAAGAGATGCCCAACTTGATTTTTAACGAAAAAAGTGAAAAATGAAAATTGCAACTATTATGCTTTTTCGGGAATTGTAGAAGGGATCATACTTAACCCAGGTGAGAATCATTTGGGACCTTGGAGTTTGGAAGTGAAACATAAGGAAATCTAACTACGAAACCAAGATATTTGCCGCTTTTGGTCTAACATCTCACTTCCAACACTATTTCAGCCTAAATCAAATCCCTCTAAATCCTACCGCAGTACATATAAATCAAGTTTATGCCAAGGCAAGTAAGTAGCCATCAAATATCAAGCCAAATTAAGCTCCAACATTGATGCTTTTCATTAAACTCACTAAAAGGAAAACAATATTAAACTTATCAAAATTAATCACAAAACAAAATTTAGAAGTAATAATAATTTTTTGAAGATAACGCTTATAACAAAAAAAAAAAAAAAAAGGTATTTACCTTACCTATAAACATCACTTGAGGCTTGAAAGACAAAAATTTAATCTTCAGCTTTCTCACCAGTGTCACAATTGGATAAGCTTTCACCTACCAAATAAAATTAAAATAAAAAGTAAAAAACTTTAAGGCATGGTCTAGGAGCTAAAACCCAGGCAAATTGCAGGTATGTATTACTCACTAATTTTTTTTACTTAAACCATTAATCAGATGGATTTGGCTCATCTAAATATTTTCCTATCCAAAACAAACACATATTTTCATTCAATCATGACTAATGCATTATAGTTTAAGGGGGAAATTATATTGAAAAATTAATGTACCTCCACTAAAAGAAAAGCCATCACCAACTGAATTAGGGACATCGATCAGATAATCCTGTAAAACTCCATCATCTTTTTACATATAAATTATTGGTTTGAATCAATAGTAATGAATCAAAGAATACAATAAAGAGCTTATATCTTGTGGTCATTGGCATTTGATCTGCTTCAACTAATTGTGAGAGGCTTTCGACAGAGATGTTTAGCCTTGAAATTAAAAGACCCACCAAAAAGAAGTGATAGAGGATCGACCTCAATTCATTTTGTCATTGCTATTAAAAGCAATGCATTAAAATGCAAGTCGTGCTTTATTTTTTCCAAACCTTTTTAGCAAGGGCATATCAGAATTAGCAAAGACAAAAGTTGCCTATATTTTAGCTGATGTGAATAACAGAGCAATAAACTGTTTCTTGGATTCACTTTTCCTCTTATTATATATAGCCTTGACTTTGTTGTTAACTGTCTCAAGAGGCAATTTTAGGCATCATAATTATGTCTCTTCGTCATGGATGTCTTGAAACACCACCTTGCAATTATGATGATCTCATTTGGGGCTCATCCTGCAATAAGGAAATACAAACATGTATTAAGAAATGCCAGCTTAAAAATATTATCTGACAAATGTTTTTCGAACTACCTACAAAGCATAATTGAAACTTGCTGAAGGCTGATAATCCAATTGTCCCTACATGAGAAACCACAATAAAGAAAATTTTAGCATTATAATCATTTTCATAAAACCAAATTTATCAACAAAAAGATGGCAATACAAAACTTCATACCAATCAATGCAAGCATTGTTTAATGTCAAAAAAACTGTCATGGCTGGTGCTATAGAGTTCAATTGCCCCTACCTACATAAAATGCAACCCAAACTATAACAGAACTATAACTGCTTATAAGAAGCCTTGATGATTGATAGTTCAGGTTAGGTGCATCATTTGGGTCAATCAAGTTAGATCATTGCCTGTTTTAGCCAATTTGGCATCATGCAGGATCAAATTTTGAACAACTGAGCTAGGTTGTCTGGATTCAGATTCGACCAAGTTTAGGGTGTTAACTTCTCAAATCAATTCAGGTATATGATTTCGTTTGGGTTGGGAGGCTGTTTGGTTAGGTAAGCTTTTATCACCTTTCTTTGTAACTAATTATTATAATTGTAAAGGCCAGCAAAACTTACCAGACTTACTAGACCCTAAATACTTTGCTGATTAATATAACAACCATCATGAGGATGCTTTACCAAATTTAATGGTACCTGCAATTACTACAGTTTAAAATATCAGTGTTAAAATCAAAATAGTTAAATCCCCATATGTTAGCTTATAAAAATTCATTCAAATTAGTAAATATGTAATACTAGTCCTTATACATTATGTTGTGCATCATAATAACCATTAATATTTATTCCATCTAAGCTCAGGTTGTCCTACACAAAAAAAAGCCAAAATGCCAAATTAACTTGTAATGATAATCTACATCAAACTGTAGGAAGAGGTAGATGTAGAGTCAGTGAAATGTACAAACCGATGAACTTTTTCAAGTACTTAATTATGATTTTTTTTTTAAGTATCAAAATGATAATTTCATAATAATTCAAGTAGCAAATATGTAGCATTTTCTTCAATAGTTCTATTCCCCATACAAAAACCAAATATGCAACAATAATTAAACAAAAAACACAAACATGCATCATGGTGGAGACAATGAAATTATTAACCTTGGGCATAACAATGGTGAGGTCAATATTCACATAGCATAAAGGATCCATGGCACACTTGTTAAACATCGAACACGTTGCAGGGTGTAGCAAAGACTCTGCGAATCTAGCATTGGAAATACTTGCAGAAAACAAAAAAAAAACCCACATAACCACCAAAAAGATTGAAAGGAAAGAAAGAAATAACAAAATTACAATCATTAATCAAAAAATTAAGGTTTTACCTTGATGTTGAGATCAGGTGTGAGGATTAAGGACATGGAGTTATGATGCAAAGCATGTTTTGGAATGAAGTGATTGGTAGCACGAGGGAAAAGGGAATTGAGCTTGTAAGTGCGATCAATAAGAAGAGACTAATCAGCGTCAGAAGTGGAGGAGTCGAGAAGGTGATCCAAGAAAAAGTAAAGGAAAATAAAGGCAAAGGAATCAACAAGGGAAAAAAAGAGTAAGAGGAGATGATATATTTGAAGTAAAAAGGAAGCCGTTTTGAGGAAAAAAAAAAAGTTAAGAAATGGCCAATTTCAGTTATACTTAAGTCTGTCATTTAGGTTTTAAGCGGAGAACTTTTAAGTGGTCAGTGACAAAACAAAGATGTGTCAAAAGTCAAATCCATTAAGGACCTTTTTATATAGGGTAATGCAGATTTGGCAGAAGGTTAGTATTAGTCAAGCAACGTGCATGGACAATATCGCCCATAAATTCTGAAGTCCTCCAAATTCTCCATTATTTCACCGGCAACCTCTGCAACAAGATCCAGACAGATGCTCCAGGCTTCGATTTTCCCGGCGCATGTTGCCTTTCCCGCCTCACGTCCCAATGCAACTTTTCTGTATCTTCGCCGTCCATCTTCATTTTTTCCAATTTCTCCGCCGTTGGTGCCGCCGCGTGTCCCGTTGCTCTCCACTGCAAGGAGCTTCACTGCCGAAGCATTTATTGATCTCAAAGGCGGTAAAGGGTACTTTAATTCCAGCTTTATTAATTTGTTTTTAGTTAATTTTCCTTAACTAGAATAAAATCGATAAGCTTTAAAGTAATCTAATTTCCAAAAACTAATGGATATTGTGTAATTGGTAGGGATCATATAACCCAGAATAGTAATTAGCACATTGATACAACTTTTAATGAAAACTGCCCCTTTGTTTAGATTTGAAGGAGTCAATTTATTGTCAAAATGAGTTCATTTTTAAAATTGGGAGATGGTAGTTTGTTAGAAGGAAGAAGTGAAATAGTTTTTTTGGTTGTCCAAATTGCAGAATGAGTGCATTCCATGAGGTTGAGCTCAAAGTCCGTGATTACGAACTGGATCAGTATGGTGTTGTTAACAATGCTGTTTATGCAAGTTATTGCCAACATGGTGAGTCTTTTATGGTTTGGTTCTTTTATTTTATTTTATTTTCAAGTGTGTATCATTGCTTAATTTAATCTTATACCTGAATTGAAGGTGCCTCGAGCCCTTGACCACTGATGGGATTTTTTTTTTTTTTTGGGCTAGAATTTAAACATAACCATAGAAATTTAGTAATTTCTGGTTTATTTAGTTCTATTACTGACTATTACTTGGTTGAATGCGTCAACACTTCAGCCTTTTGATCTCATTGTTTGCAAGGCATGTATAGCTCACAGAGGGCAGACTTTGCAATTCAAATTTCAAAGCCTTTCAGTACTGGCTTTGTCAAAGCATTCATTTGAGCATTAACTGATTTACTTTCTGAAGTAGCAAAGTATGTTCTCTATAATTTACATCCAAGTTCTTTGTGTAACAAATACCTTCTGAAATACAAGGATTTCTAAAGGTGGAGGTCCATGAATAGAGTTTAGGATTGCCATGATACAGGTTTTATTTTGAATGGTTTGTTCTCTTTCATGTCTAATACTAAAGGAAATGACTTCATGTCACTGGAATTGTGCTGTTGGTAGTCACAGGTGAAGTGAATGATAGAGGTTCTGAAATAGTGCTTTTTCTTGAAGTTTATCTTGGCACTTGATCGAGCTCTTGCATGTTCATTGTAATCTGATTGCTTTGTATTCACAGTTTGTTGATTTAGACTAATTACTCTTGTGTGAATAATTAGGTCGTCATGAACTACTGGAAAATATTGGTGTCAGCTGTGATGGAGTTGCCCGCACTAGTGATTCATTAGCACTGTCAGAGTTGTCGCTCAAATTTCTTGGACCTTTAAGAGTATGCCACTTTCTTTATATTTGTAATTACTAAATCACTTACCTGTTTATTTATCTACTTATGTGAAAAGAGATGAAACATCTTGCTAGCTGAGGACCTGCTTTGTTATTTCTTAATTTCTTTAGTTCAGAAGTCAAAGGTAGAGCATGAGAATACTTCTAAGTCTGAAGCAGTTGGTATGTTAGCTTGGGGTTAATTTGCAGGAAGAATCCATTTAAATTCTATTCCAACAGCTATAGAAATTAAATAGTTCAACCTTAAAAGTCTTCTATACAATTTACTTAAGACTCTTCTATACATTTTACTAAATGCAATGTTAGGATATGTGAGAATTGCTTTTTCAGAGGTGTTAAATGATTTTTATACAAGAGCTTAGAAAATAAATACTTGAAAATACAGCTCTAAAGTTGGATTTGAATTTGGGGAAGTTGGTATATGCAGATTATGTTTGCATCATTCATGAATTGAACTTGGCAAAATTTATTAGAATTGCTAGCTAGTGCCAGTTCAGCATGTCAGTTGCAACTTTTTATAGCACGATTAGCTTTCATCCTTGTGAGCCGGGCTCTTTAATGTTCTTACTTATGTCTACTTCTCATGTGCTTTCTGGATAACAGAGTGGAGACAAGTTTGTTGTGAAGGTGAGGATTTCAGACTCCTCAGCTGCTCGCATGTACTTTGAGCATTTTATCTTTAAGCTGCCAAATGAAGAGGTTTGTCATCATCAAACCTGCTATTCTTCTACTTCAAGTCAAGGATTTGGTGTTTTGCTTAGTAATCTGATGATGTGTTGTGCAGCCTATTTTGGAGGCAAAGGCCACAGCAGTTTGGCTTGACAAAAATTATCATCCTGTTCGTATACCTCCAGAGTTCAGATCAAAATTTGTTCAATTCCTTCGCCGTGAGGAGCCTAATTGAGTTGTTGCTGCATGAATGATACGTGAGAGATTATCCCATTTGGGCAATGAATGAAGCAGATGTGATTCTTGATTAGAGACCAATTGAAGTAGTTATTTCTTTTCCAACTTTTGTTGTTTGATACCCTTAAAAAAGCTTAAAAAAAAAAAAAAAGGGAAAAACCAAAGTTATGGAACATAACTCATGCTTGTTGAGCTCAAAGTGTTATGCCTAATGCATGTACCATTCTTTTACAAATATTAAAGGACAAATGCCAAGTGTATTGTAAAAGGTAAAAATGTGTGCTTGTAAGCATGATTGTATTTCTTGAGCAAACACTCAAGCTATACTGCATTCCTGCATTCATGTTTCTTTGTGACATATATGAAACTAACATTATGCGACTTCTTTTGAGATATGCATGCCAACAAACTTAATTGAATGTTGAGCTTAATAGCAGAGAATACTAGTCAATGAATGCTCATCCATATTTCAGGTTTGATGATATTGTCGTGGAAAAACTAAGAAATAAAATTGTGAAGAACTAAGAGTAAAATTGAATGTATATTGAAAAACTGCTCATAAAGTATTATACAAGTACTTTAGGTTTATATACAACTAACTAGTGGATAAACTAAAAAATTAAATCTTATTAAAACTAATCCTATAATTGAGGGATTGTCTATCCTAATTTTTTATCCTTTATTTTAGGGATACAAATACTTAATTTTAGATATACAAATATAAATATACAGATTACGAGATTACAACTAGCTGTAAATAAATATTTTCCCACACTTTCCCTCAAGTTGGTGAATAGGTATTTTTCATTTCAGCTTGGAAATAATTTCTTGAAATGTTGCACTGTTGAAACTTTTAGTTAATACATCTGCAAGTTGACCCTTGGTTGATACATATGATGTACAAATCAACTCAGTATCTAGTTTCTTTTTTATTAAATGTCAGTCTATTTCAATATGTTTTATTCTGTCATGTTGCATAGGATTGTATGCAATGCTTATTGCAAACTTGCTATCAAAGTAGAGTCTTATTGGTCTATCTCACTTGATCTTCAAGTCTTCTAGGATAATCTTTAACTATAGTAGTTCATAAATTCCTTGAACCATTGTTCTAAACTCTGCTTTAACACTTGATATTGCCACCACATTCTGTTTTTTACTCCTTCAAGTCACAAGATTACCACTTAGGAAAATGTAGTAACTTAAGGTGGATCTTTTATCAGTTGCTGAACCTGCATAATCAGCATCTATATATGTATCTAGAATTAGCTCTGAATTTTTTTTGAATAAGATACCTCTTCCAGGATTAGCCTTCACATAGTACAATACACGGTAGACAACCTGTAGATGCACTTCTTTAGGACTATGCATAAATTGACTTATCACACTCACAACATATGCTATATTAGGTCTAGTGTCACGTGCTAAGTTTTTTTTCAATGAAGCAATAGACCGTGTGACACTTAAATGGACACTTCCAAACAAGTTAGGCAAGGATAGTTCGATATCTGAATAGATAACCAATAAGCCACAAGTTAATCTCAAGCATACACAAAGATATATTGAGGCACAATGGGATCACACCAAGGTGACCACCAGCATTCTCATATATAAAAAATATATATTTTATTAATATCAAGAATAGTACATCGAGTTTTCTCATTATCGTCGGGGCAAATGGGTAGCCCTAGATGGGTGGTTTATCACATACCTTAGCTAGTGAGGTAGCCCAACAATATGTCAACTATTTACCTCTTCTAAAGAACAAATGAGATTTTATAGCTATGCTACCAAGAACCATTACAATGTTTGAAATGGAGACACTTTTTCTTAGCACATGAGATTTGTCTTCCCCCTTGGTACCTTTACCTAGTCATGGCCCCATACAAGGGTGGCTTATGACAACCTATGCCCGGTCATGGCCCTATACAAGATTGGCTTATGACATCTTCCTCAACCTATCCTATCGATGCCTTCGTCGACTTGTTACTTGGAATTCTTAAATCTTCTACTTGAATGCTTGAAGGCCTTGATCTCTTTCCCAACTAATTTCTTTTAGTCCTAAGCCCTCACACTTCATAAATTTCATGAACTCTTCTTCGAGATACTTTGGATACTGTATTAACTAAAATCTCTTTAACTTGACATTTTGATAGTGGTTTCATCAAAATGGCTACATTGGTTAATTCATTATAATTTGTATATGTGGGATCTGTATGAAAAGGCTTTAAATTGCTCACATAAACACTAGATTCACCTTCATCCATTTTGGCATGTCGATTTTGTAAGAGGCATTCCTTACTTTGGAAAGGATCTTCACTGGACCCTTATATTTATGCATAACCTATGACCCCACTGCCTTAGGAACCTAGTTTGTTTGGGCACTAGTTTGACAAGAACAAGATTACCAACTTTGAATTGCTGCACCCTTCGACTCTTATTTGCCCATTTCTTCATGCTCTTCGATGCCTTCTCTAAGTATGCTTGCATAATTTTTATATTTTGTCTCCATTCTTTGCTAAAATTGAAAGCTCACAGATTCTTCCCTTCATACAATTTAAGGATGTCTAATGACCACTTCAAATGGACTCTTGTTTATGGAAGAACACTTATTGGAATTAAAACAAAGCTAACCTATATCCAACAATGAAGGCTAATTCTTCTGATTAGCTTGAATAAAGTATCTTAAGTACTCCTTCAATAACCTATTAAATCATCTGGTTTGAGCATCAGTTTACGGGTGATAAGTTAAAAAGATGTTGAGTTAGGATCCCAAAATCTTGAAAAGTTTCCTCTAAAATGACCCAATGAACATTAGATCCTTATCATTGACAATGTTTTGAAGAAGGCCTTAGTACTTGATTACATGTTTAAACATTAGCCGGGTCGTGTTTTCTGCAATGCAATACTTTTAAGCGGGAATAAACGTGGCATATTTCAAGAAATGATCAATCACCACTAGGATAGACCTGAGATCACTAACTTTAGGAAGGCCTGATATGAAGTCAAGGGAGATCCTTTCCTAAGGTTTGATGGGCACAAGTAGTGGTTCAATCATGCTTATCGGTTTCTTCTTTTCAACTTTATCCTATTGGCAAATGAGGTAAGTCTTCATATTGTCCATCATGTCTTGCCACATATAAGGCTAATAATAGCCTTGTTTTAGTAAAGCCAAAGTACGTTGCCAACTAGGGTGACCTGCCCATAGTGCATCATGGCATTCCCTCATTAGCATCTGTTTCAGACCTTCTATTTTCGACACAAACACCAGAGGACTCTTTATCAATAAGATCTTGACTAGCCACCATTAGGGCAATTCTCCTAAGGGTAGCCAACTTTGCTTTTCTATTCAATACATTTACCACTTAATTGGTTCTTCTGGCTATGTGCTCAAAACAAAATTCAAATTCGACTAGAAATTTTTACCATCTATCTTGCTTAGCTGTGAGCCTCTGCTTAGTAAAAAAATGACTAATCGTTGTATTATCTGTCTTCACAATGAATTGTGAACCCAACAAGTAATGCCAACATGCTCTTAGACAATGAATTACTACCAAGAATTTTTTTTTGAACAGTATATCTCCTTTCAATTTCACTTAACTTTTTACTTTCAAATGCTATTAAATGCCATTCTTATAAAAGTATTCCCCTAATAGCAAAATCATATGCATTTGTTTGAACTTCAAAAGGCTTTTCAATGTCGGGGAGAGTTAAAAGAGGGTCATTCATCATAGCTTCCTTCAATCTCATAAAAACCTCTTGACATTCACTTGTCCAACACCATTTATGCTCCTTTTTTAATAGTTCCATGAAAGCAATAATTTTATGAGAGTATATTTCCATAAATCTCCTATAATAATTGGTCAATCCCAAAAATGAATGGAGTTCACTGACATGCTTTGGTGTTACCCACTCTTTGATAGCTCTAACTTTTTTCATGTCTATTTTAATGTGATTTTGTTCAACAATGTGGCCTAAGAAGTGAATTTATGTTTAAGCAAATGCACATTTCTCCCTTGTAACATATAGTTGGTGGTCTTATTGTCTTTAAAACATAAGACCCAGGTGCTCTTGGTGCTCTTTTAAGGTAGAACTATAAACCACTTTGTCATCTAAATAAATGACCACAAACTTGTTAAGATAATCATAAAACACCTGATTCGTTGAGGTACAAAATATGACAGGGATATTAGTCAATCCAAAAGCATAACAAGAAATTCAAATGCATCATATCGTGTTACACAAGTGGTTTTTGGCTCATTTCCTTCAGCAACTCTGACCTGATGATAGCCAAATCTTAATTCCAATTTGAAGAAGTACTTGGCCTGGCTCAATTTATCAAATAAATCCATAATAAATGGAATAGGATATTTATTTCTTACAGTGACTTTGTTCAGAGCCCTATAGTCTACACACAACCGTAAACTCCTATCATGCTTTTTTTGAAATAGCATAGGTGCTTCAAATAGTGCTTTCGATGATCTAATAAATCTAACTTGTAAAAGCTCATCTAATTATTTTCTCAATTCAATCAACTCTGATAGAGCCATGCGATATAGGACTTTAGCTAATGGTTTAACTTTCGAAAGAAGCTCAAGCTCATGGTCTACCAATCTTTGAGAAGGTAAAACTTTGGGCATTTACTCCAATATCACATTTTCAAACTCTTTCAATACCTTTATCACCCATCGTGTACCGATTTTGACTCAATCCTCTTTTTGTAAATCAACATGGCCATATAAGAGGGCTTTTCTCTCTTTACCTTTTCTTGAATTATAATACTAAAATCATTTTCTTCTCACTCTTAGAAAGGATCATGGTTGGCATAATACACAGCGTTCCCCTAAGAACAATAGACAATTAACAAAGAGGATTGGGATCGTCTAAGCCAATAGCATGAAGTCCAATCCTAAGACAACATCAAAGTCATCCATGAGAGAAATGGTGAAGTCTACATTTCCTTCCTATGGCCCTAACTTGGTCATCACACTTTTGAAGCTTCCACTGATTACAAAGGCTGGTGAATTAACCGCTTTCATTTGCCTACAGTCCTTATTAACCTTGAGACCACACCTTTTTGCTTTCTTTGGTGTGTTGAAGGTATCGGTTGCACTCATGTCTACCATGACCTTTGTGGTCTTCTTATTAAGTACCAGGTCCATATACATTAGACCTTTCTTAGGTTTTTTCTTTATCATGTTTAGTTGGGTACGAAGGGCACTAAAGAACTATATTGAGCCCATCCCGACTAACTCATCTTTAACTTTTTTTACTATCTCAAGTGCTTTCATGGACTTTTGAAATGAAGCTCTCAAAGCATTAAGGGTACCTCTATATGGGCATTCGACCACCTGATGTAGTCCGTGGCATAAAAAGTAAGCTAGCGGTTGCTTTGG